AATTATTTTGCTGAGAAGTTTTGCATTTATGTTCATCAGGATAGTAGCTTATAATTTTCTTTCTTTGTCTGGTTTTAGAATCAGGGTGGCCTCATAACATGGAATACTATAAGCTGTAAAAAAGGATTTCTTACCCTTTGCAACAGCATGGGTGGACCTGGAGAATATTATGCTGAGTGAAATAAGCCAGTCAGAAAAAGACAAATATCACATGATTTTACTTCTAAATAGAATCTAATAAACATAATAAACTGAGGAACAATATAGGTCTAGAGACATGGAGGCATGAAACAGACTAACATATCTCAGAGGGGAGGATGGGGAGATGGGAAGAGATTAATTAAAGAATTCATGTACATATATGCATAATCAATGGACACAGACAAAAGTATGGTGAAGGGGCTTGGAGGAAGGTAGTAAAGTGGAAAATTGGGGACATCTATAATACTTCAACAATAAAATAAAATTTTTTTAAATGAGCTTGGGAGCCCTTCCTCCTCTTGTTTAGAATAATTTGAGAAGAATAGATTTTAATTCTTATTTGAATGTTTGGTAAAATTCACCTGTGAAGCCATCTGTCCAGTACTTTTCTTTGTTGTGAATTATTATTGTTGTTGTTATTGTTATTGTTATTATTGCTTTGTTTTTGTTGATAGTAATAGGTTTATTAAGAATATCTGTTTCGCCAGAACCGGTTTGGCTCAGTGGATAGAGCGTCAGCCTGCGGACTCAAAGGTCCCGGGTTCGATTCCGGTCAAGGGCATGTACCTTGGTTGCGGGCACATCCCCAGTGGGGGGCGTGCAGGAGGCAGCTGATCGGTGTTTCTCTCTCATCGATGTTTCTAACTTTCTATCCCTCTCCTTTCCTCTCTGTAGAAAATCAATAAAACATATTTAAAAAAAAAGAATATCTGTTTCTTCCCAGTTGTTGTGGCTTGGTGGTTGAGCGTCGACCTATGAATCAGGAGGTGATGGTTTGATTTCCGGTCAGGACACATGCCTGGGTTGTGGGCTCAATCCCCAGTGGGGGCATTGATATTTCTATCTCTCTCACCTTCTCCTTTCCTCTCTAAAATCAATTAAAAATATATTTAAACACAAAGACTATATATTTCTTCTTGAGTCAGTTTTAGAAGATTCTATGTTTCTAGGAATTTATCCATTCCAGATAGTCTGATTTGTTGACATGTATTGTTTGCAGTATTTTATTACAATACTTTGTATCTGTGGTGTCAGTTGTCACTTCTTTTTCTTTTCTGATTTTATTTATTAGGGTGCTCACTCTTTTTTATGAGTCTGGTTAAAGGCTTATCTTTTTTCTTTTCTTTTCAAAAAATCATCTCTTGGTTTTATTGATTTTTTGTGTCATTTTTTAATACTCTATTTTGTTTATTTTCACACTGATCTTTCTTTCCTTCTAATCACTTTGGACTTTGTAGTTCTTGTTCTAGTTCCTCTATGTGTAAGGTTACATTGTTTTGGGGGATTTTTCTTGTTTATTGAGATAGACCTGCATTGCTATGACTTTTTCTTTTAGGGTTGCTTTCCCTGTGTCCCATAGATTTGGGGCTGTTGTGTTTTCGTTTTCATTTGTCTCAAGGCATCTTTTTATTTTTTCCCTTATCTCATTATTCACTTATTCATTGTTTAGTAGCATGTTATTTGGCATCTGCATGTTTCTCAGATTTTTTCTTGTTATTGATTTCTAGTTTCAAACAATTGTGGTTGAAGAAGATGCTTGATATGATTTCAATCATCTTAAATTTATTGATACTTGTTTTGTGGCCTATAATGTGGTCTACCCTGGAAAATTTCTATGCGCTCTTGAAAAGGATGTATATTCTGCTGCTTTGCAGTAAAATGTTCTGAAAATATTCCTTAAATCCATCTGGTATAATGTATTCTTTAAAGCCACTGTTTCCTTATTGATTTTTTGTCTAGAAGATCTATTGATTGATGTCAAATTGGGTGTTAAAGTTCTCTACCATGACTATTACTGTCAATCTCTCTTTTTATGTCCATCAATATTTGCTCTATTTTCACATAGAGAGGGTCCTATGTTGGGTTCATAAATGTTTACAAGGGTTTTAGTTCCTTGTTGGATTGATTCCTGTAAGATTATGATGTCCTTCTTTGTCTCTTATTATAGCCTTTGTTTTAATGATAATTTTGTCTGATATAAATATTTCTTCCCCAGCATTTTTCCATCTACATTTGCATAAAATACTTTATCCATCCTTTCACTTTCATGTTGTTTGTGTCTTTTGATCTGAGTATTGGCCATGACCATAGCAGACAAGCTTCGGTATGTGGGCTGTCCCCATGGAGCGGGGTTGGCACCAGAGTCATTTGGGAACACCCTGGGGTGCTTTTGATGAAGCTAATTGGGGGGGAGGTGCTCTCTTGTGGTCTGAAGCTAGCCACCAGGTGGTGGTGCTGGGGGCTTTGGGGAGGGGTTCTAGTGCAGGCTAAGGTCTGCTGCTTCCTTTTACTGGCCTGGGCCATCTAGTAGTAGCTAGCTGCCTGTGCTATGGTTGGAGGTGCATGGGAGAAGCCACACTGCAAAGCAAGGCTGGCTGCCACCAGGACCAGGCCTGCACCTGCTCAGCAAGAGGCACAGGGCACACCTAGGCCAGCTCCCACTTGCTTGGGGCCTGTAGACCCTTGAGAGTTCTTATGAGACTGCAGCACCGGCAAAGGCCTGCTGCCCATCTCCTAAAGAGCCTCCAGCAACGCTCAGGCTGAGACCAGCGGCCTGCTGCTGAAAGAGCCTTTGGTAGTGTGGGAATTGGGAGGGGTGGGGTCTTAGGGTCACTGGGTGAGGTGAGTGGTGTTCACCAGGTTAATGCAGATTCAGATTTGGTCCCCACCTGCACCTGCAGGCCCTATGCGGTGAGGGATCAAAACAGGAAAGATGGCACCGGCCTGCCAGAGGGCTCTACACAAGGACAATGGCAGCTGTCCCCCCAGCCCTCACCCTGAGGCCACACAACTCAGATTTTTCTTGAATGCATCTGGCATCCCTGAGTTCCTATCCCTCTGCTGGAGCCCAAGGCGAGTGCCTATGAGCCAGTGAGTCTGTGCATGGGCCATGTAAGTGGATGCCTGGGTTTCCAGCAAACTCCATCTCACCCAGATGAAAGGAATTTCTGCTGATTTTCACAGCCAGATGTTTTGGGGGCTCCTCTTCCCAGCACTAGTGCTCTGGTCTTGGGGGCCTGGTGGAGCTGGGACCCCTTGCTCCACAGGTAGAACCTCTACAGCTGAGATATCCCTTCTGATTTTCAACTGCCAAACATGGGTGCAGTGGCAGCAGGTGTTGTCTCTGATCCACCTACAAATCTTAACAGTGGCTTCCTCTTTATATTCTTGGTTATAGGACTATGTTCAGTTTGTCTTCAGATGATTCTCCCAGTTGATTGTTCTATAATTTAATTTGTAATCTTGATGTGGTGGGATGGGAGTGGGAGGTGTAAGCACAACATTTTCCAACTCTGTCATCTTAATTTGAACTCTAGATCAACATTTTAAAAGTTTTACATATACATTATAATAATTTGATATTTCTTATAGTCACCATGCTTTTTGTGCCTTTTGATCACTTTCAGCCATTTCACTCACTCCTGACTCCTGGCAGCTCTTAATTTGTTCCCTGTATCTATGTGTTCATTTTTTTATAGATTCCACATATAAGTAAAATCATATAGTATTTGTCTTTATCAAACTTCTTTCAAATTAGCATAATGCCCTCAAAGTCCATAAATGTTGTTGTGAATGGCAGGATTTTTAATGTGCTAATTCATGTTGTGGGCTCAATCTTCTTTATATATTCACATCTTCTTTATATATTCATCCATAAATGGACACTAAGGTTTACAATCCATACCTTGGTTATTGTAAACATTGGAGTACAGATATATTTTTCAAGTTATTGTTTCCATTTTCTTTGGATTAAAACCCAGAAGTGAAATGGCTGGGTCATATGGTAATTGTATTTTTTTATTTTTGAGGAACCTATAAACTGTTTTCCATAATGGCTGTGCCAATTTATATTCACATCAACAGTGCAGAAGGGTTCCCTTTCCTCCACATCCTCACCAACACTAATTATTTCTTGTCTCTTTGATAGTAGCTGTTCTAGCAGGTGCAAGTCGATATGTCATTGTCATTTTTTATTAAAAATTTTTAATATTGACATTATTGCAAGTGTCCCTGTCCCCCCCAACACCACCTTTGTGCACTATCAACACCCCTCCCCCAAAAAATCATTTATATATGGACTTGAGTAACTATCCAGGAAAGTCCTACATGTATTTTCCAGATTTCTAGACTATTTTGATCTTATGATACCCTTATTCCACAATAGCCATATCAAAGGCAGAGTGAATATAGACAATAATTTACCAGCTCTTAAATATACCAGCCTAGAAGGAACACATCAATTCCACTCATATTTTATTGGACAGAAAAAAACATATTGCCACCTTTACTTCAAGGAGAAAGGAAGTGCAATTCTGTTGGGTGACCAATAGGAGAGAATAAGTAGAAATACTGCCAATCGGCAGTAAAATCTACCATAGAGATGTGCACAACATCAAAATCCATGTGGAAAACTGTGAAGACTGTTAGATTAGACTATGGGCTCAGGGTTAGCGTTCTGGGTTTGAATCCTGCTTTTGCCACTGGGTCCCTCGTCTCTCTGTAACTTTGGGAAAGTTTTGTATTGTTTTTAGCATTCTTAGAGTCTCATTTTTATCACCTCTAAAATGGGGACAGTAATTTTTCCTATTGAGAAGATTACATAAGATAACAGAGAAAAATCAGCACATGCTCATCATATAATAAGCACTAACATATCAACTTTATTTTGATATGTATTTTAATTATACTTTATTAAAAAACAGTAAAAAAAAACAACAACACTGTTGGTGATACACACAAATAACACAGTTCACAATCAAACACATAGAAATAAAGTGAACAATCACTTTAAACTCTCTAGGCCAACATTTGAGTTAACAAAGATATAGTAAATGCCTTAAATCTAAGTTTAGAACTCACGAGTGTGAAGGTAAGGGATAAGACCAAGGACATAATTTTTGGACAACCAATAGGACAAAAATGTCATCAAAGAAATTGCTCAGAGATTAGTTGTTTAAATGTGTGTAAAAAACTGAGAGAGAGCAAATTCATAGATTCTTAAGAATTGGATAAAAGAATAAGATCCTTTGAGATATTCAAGTGTAAGAACTTCAGAATAAAAGTGTTTGCCACTGGTACTCACAAACCTTCTCAGTCCCAGGACCAATGGATTTATCACAGACAAGAGAATGCTCTGCTAAGAAGCCTTCCCATGGCGCCCTGCACATCCTTGTTTCTCAAGCTGTAGATGAAGGGGTTCAGCATAGGGGTGACCACAGTGTACATCACTGAGGCCACTGAGATTTTCTGGGAAGAGAGAATCATCGAAGAACTGAAGTAGACCCCAATGCCTGTCGCATAAAATAAAGAAACAACTGCGAGATGAGACCCACAGGTGGCAAATGCTTTTTGCCTTCCCTGCAATGAGGACATCTTCCTTATGGATGAGGTAATTCTTGAGTAGGAGAATAGGATCCCCAAAAGGGGGAACACACCCAGCACACCAGTCATAAAGTATAACAGTATGCTATTCAGGAAGGTATCAGAGCAGGCCAACTTGAGGATCTGTGTCACCTCACAGAAGAAAAGTGGAATTTCAAGATCTCTACAGAAATTCAGATGCATCATCAGAGAGATATGGAGGAGGGATGTCATGACACCAATGAACCAAGTAATAAAAACTAGCAAGCCACAGAGACGAGGGTTCATGATGACCATGTAGTGCAGTGGCTGACAGATGGCCACATACCGGTCATAGGCCATCATGGTCAGGAGTAGGGTGTCCAGGATAGGAAAAAACATGGAAAAATACACCTGAGTGAGGCAGTTCATGTAGGAAATGGCTTTGTTCTCTGTCTGGATGCTCACCAGCATATTGGGGACTATGGTGGTGCTGAAACAGATGTCAACCAAGGACAGGTTGGAAAGGAAGAAGTACATGGGGGTGTGGAGGTGGGAGTCAAAGCTGATGATTAGGATGATGAGCAAGTTCCCAAGCACAGTAACCAGGTACATGGAGAGGAACAGTCCAAAGATGAGGGGCTGCAGTTCTGGATCCTCAGAGAGTCCAAGGAGGGTGAACACTAAAATTCCTGTTTTGTTTCCTGCTTTCATGTGGCTGATATATCTATGATGGAAGAGACCGGAACAACATGAATTAGCACAAACTGGCACCCTCCACATACCAGAATTGTTGACAATGCCTTTCACGCAAGTTATTGATAAAGACTGTCATTTTATCTAAGAGTCGGGTCTCTATTCACTTATAAATGGAATCCTAAAAAATGGAGTCTCTTGTCCACCCGCTCATCTTCAGTATCCATTTTATAACAATGAAACCAAAAGGAAATCCTACCAAATAGAATTCCTGACCACCTATCTTAAGTATCCATTTTATAACAACCCCGTCAGATGGTCATGAAGCTTCAAAATGGGACAAATCAACGTCATGTACCTCCTGGTAGGAGGCACTCGAAAGGACTCAATGCGACGACTGTGGGACTTTTGCCAAAGATACAGGACTTCAATCTTCAGGTTAAGGAGCATCAGACAAAGCCAAAACGAGGGGCATTCAAATTCAAAGAAAGTCTAGGAACTGCTCTGGATGAAAGGTGCCTAAAGAGATGGTAACCAAATGTAACGTGTGATCTTGGATTTTCTTTTGCTATAGATGACATTATTAGGATAATTGTCCAAATAGGACTGATGTCTGTAACTTTAATAACAGTATTATACCAATGTTAATTTTTTTTAATTTCTTGATTTTGATCATTGTACTGAGGTTGTGTGAGGAAAATGTCCTTGTTTTTAGGGAATACCAACGATTTAGAGGTGCAACTTATTCTCAAATGGTCTGGAAAAAAGCACATGCACACAGAAGGAAGACAGAGAAAATGGGGTAAAGATAAAAGTTAAGGTGGTAAAAATGTTATTTGGAGGATCCAGCAAAGGATATACGTAGGAACTATTCTTTCAACTTTTCTTCAAACCTGAAATAATGTAAAAATTAAAAGTTAAAAACACTTTCACACAATGCCCAATAGTACTGGGTAGAAAAAAGAAAGAAAATCCATCCAAGAAATGTCAGAAAGGGTCAGGCTTCAAAAATCACTGTAGCCGGAGAATCGAAGATGGCGGCATAGGTAAACACCGGAGACTGCGGCCGCAAACAACCACTTCAAAAATACAACTAAAAGACGGAACGGACATCAACCAGAACCACAGGAAGGCTGGCTGAGGAGAGACTCTTAAACTAGAAGGAAAAACAACAGCATTACGAGGCTCAGAAGAGGCGCAGTGTGGAAAATTTAAAGGTACGGTGGTGCGCGCGCAAAGCGGGCTGGTGGCTGAGGGCGCGGTTGTCGTTTTCAATCAGGAGGGAGCCTCAGACTCTGGGCTACAGATCCGGGCGAGTCTCTAGGGACCCAGACTCAAACGGGAGAAGCGGGACTGTCTGGCTACGGTCCCTCCGAGGTTTGCAGCGGTTGCTGGGACAGAGAGGCGGAGCCCCTGGGGACGGACTGAGAGCAGCCATAGCTGCTCCCTCCACCCGCCCTGTTGAGCCCGCCCCGCCCAAGCCCTGCGCAGAGCCATTTGCCGGATCGCCTCAGGCAAAGGCTAGATTAGCACCTCCCCAGAGGACTGAAGTTTTCCCACAGCTGATTCTCACAGCCAGTCGGCCTGGTGGTCAAATCCCTCTAGTATTAACTACAACAATTAAGGCTTACCTAGAACAAGACTGTGCACAAAGACCACAAGGGGGTGCACCAAGAAAGCATAAAAGATGCGGAGACAAAAAAACATGACAGAAATGGAGGATATGGAGCTAAAAATCGCAATTTTGAGGGCTTGCAATAAACTTGAGCAGAGCCTCACGAAAACTAATGAGACCCTCGATGCTACGATAAAGAAATTAGAAAGTAAGCATACACGGACTGAAATAAAGAATATTATACCCAATAGCAGACCAGAGGAGCACAAGAATCAAACCAAAGATTTGAAAGCAAAAAACACCCAACTGGAAAAGCAAAATGAAAAAAGAATCCAAAAGTGTGAAGATAGTGTAAGGAGCCTCTGGGACAGCTTCAAGCGGACAAATATCAGAATAATAGGAGTGCCAGAAGATGAGAGACAGCAAGATATTGAAAACCTATTTGAAGAAAAAAATGGCAGAAAACTTCCCTCACCTGGTGAAAGAAATGGACTTACAGGTCCAAGAAGCGCAGAGAACCCCAAACAAAAGGAATCCAAAGAGGACCACACCAAGACACATCATCATTAAAATGCCAAGAGCAAAAGACAAAGAGAGAATCTTAAAAGCAGCAAGAGAAAGAGACTCAATTACCTACAAGGGAATACCCATAGCTGATTTCTCAACAGAAACTTTGCAGGCCAGAAGGGAATGGCAAGAAATATTCAAAGTGATGAATACCAAGAACCTACAACCAAGATTACTTTATCCAGCAAAGCTATCATTCAGAATTGAAGGTCAGATAAAGAGCTTCACAGATAAGGAAAAGCTAAAGGAGTTCATCACCACTAAACCAGTATTATACGAAATGCTGAACGGTATCCTTTAAGAAGAGGAAGAAGAAAAAGGTAAAGATACAAATTGTGAACAACAAACATGCATCTATCAACAAGTGAATCTAAGAATCAAGTGAATAAATAATCTGATGTACAGAATGAACTGGTGATTATAATGAATCAGGGACATACAAAGGGAATGGACTGACTATTCTTGGGGGGGAAAGGGGAATGGCGATGCGGGAAGAGACTGGACAAAAATCGTGCACCTATGGATGAGGACAGTGGGTGGGGAGTGAGGGCGGAGGGTGGGGCGGGAACTGGAAGGAGGGGAGTTATGGGGGGGGGGGAAGAGGAACAAATGTAATCTGAACAATAAAGATTTAATTTTAAAAAAAAAAATCACTGTAGCCGAGGTGGCCACTCACAGATTTAGAGCCCACACTCACACTCACCTAGGACCTCAGCCAGAGGAATTCAGTCTCAGTGGTCCTGATGGCACATACCCAGGCCCCAGGCAGAAGCAAACACAACTATGCTCTGAAGGGTACTTTCATCTGAAGATTTTTGCCTCAGTGTCTCTGACTTTTCTTTGTTTTAACACCCTTTCCAGGTTTGCTAGTGCATGCGGGTTCCTTCCAAGCTCCCAATCTTAAGCACAACACTAGCCTTTCACTCTTGCAGTTCTAACACTTTTGCCTGCCTAGGAATCCTAAACATCCCCAGCCATGCTTATGTAAGTACTGCCCTCCCAGCTAGGTGCTCCTCCATGCCTTTGTCTTCCTGTGATAATTCTTATCCTTGTCTCTTATCTGGAATATCACTTCCTCAAAGAAGCCTTCCTGAACCCTCCCTGCCCAGCAAGTGCAGTCCCCCTAGTTCATGCTTTTATAGCCTCCTAGAGTCTTCTTCATTGTCTAAGTCATTCTTGTGTTTTTGCATTTACTTATGAAATTATTTTATTAATATCTGTTCCTGCTCAGCTGGCATGGCTCAGTGGTTGAGCATCGACCTATGAACCAGGAGGTCACAGTTCGATTCCCAGTCAGGGCAAATGCCCATGGTGAGGTGTGCAGGAGGCAACCAATCAATGATTCTCTCTCATCATTGATGTTTCTATCTCTCTCTCCCTCTCCCTTCCTCTTTGAAATCAATAAAAATATATTTTTAAAAAATCTGTCCCTCCCACAACTGAAACATAAGCTATGCATTTCAGCTCACATGTCATAAAATTTACTGATCCTGGTAATCCAGTGGTTTGTTCTCAAAGAGCAGGAAAAGTTGAATGAAGGTTGAAACCAAGAGCAATTTATAATATAAACAAGAAATCTGCAAGTTAATCTCACATTGACTACAGATGCAGCAAACTGAAAAATGAGTAAGATGAAGCTATCTGCTTAATAGAGATAACATATTCCCTTATGAATTAATGTTCATTTGGAAGGTATAAAAATATTTAATATTAGAAAGTCAGATAACAAAGTATTTGCATGAACAGACCAATGCAGAAATAATGATAGTTTCAATATAAATGTATGTAATAAAATTTAACAGTCATTGATGGGAAGGGAACAGTAAAATTTTAATTATTAATCCAAGATCCATCATTAAACCCTAAAAACACAAAATAAACTCATAAGGAGAAATTATGCCTGTTGTTATATAGTACCTAATAATTCAAAAGAAATACCATAAGACAAGAAAAGTAAATCATATATAATAGTTTAAAACCAAGAATAAAATTGGTCGCAATTAGCTGCTGATATGATTACCTACTTGGGAACACTAAAGTCAACTTAAACACAATTAGAACTAATCAGTATCATCAGCTTTCTTTGTCTCTGCAAAGAATCATTAGGAAAGGGGGGAAATAGGTCCATTCACAATTGCAATGACAACATAGATAACACCTGACACATAGTCAGCATTCAGTACATATTTGTTCAATCAAAGAGTGTAGCTAAGCCCTGGCCAATGTGGCCCAGATGGCTGGGCATCATCCCATGCTCCAGGAGGTTGCTGGATCGAATCCCAATCTAGGGCACATGCCCAGGTTGGGGACTGTATCTCTGATGGGGGGCATGCAGGAGGCAGCAGATTGATGTTATAGTTCTCATAATGATAATTCTCTCTCTTCTTCTCCCTTTCTAAAAATCAATACACTATTATTATTTTTTTTAAGTAGTGTACAGTATATAACCTCATAAAAACCAAATGATGATGGGGCTGGGGAGGAGAAGCAGACACTTTGCTGGAGCAGAGGTTCTCCAGTTATAGAAGGCATCAGAATCACCTGGAGGATCTGTCAAAACAGATTGTTGGGTCTCATTTCTGGAATTTCTGTCAGCAGGTCTTGGGTGGGCCTGAGACTCTGCATTTCCAGCAAGCTCCCTGGAGTGTGCTGATGCCACTGCTTCAGGAACCACACTTGGAGAATGACTGTACCACAAGAAGACAGAAAGCTCTGAGCAGGGAGGTGGAAACTTTTTATACTGGAGACAATTCCTACTGACACTGAGCAAGTCACTGGTTCCAGAATGAGTTTCCATCAGAGCTGGAGGTAACAGAGACAACAGAATCTAACAAGACAGACATAGCCAGAAAAATAAATTCCAAAGATGAAAATAAAATTTCCATGGGAAATCATCAACCATGCTACCTCCTTCCCTCACCACATTTTATCTAATTTAGTGATTTGAGAGAGAGAGAGACATCGATTTGTTGTTCTACTTATTTATGCATTTGCTGGTTGCTTCTTGCAAGTGCCCTGACCAGAGATCAAGCTTGCAACCCTGGTGTATCAGGATGATGCTCTAAGTAATTGAGCTACCCAGCCAGGGACCTCTCACCACTTTTTTAATATGTCTATTCATACGCCGTACTCACTAGGCCAGGGGACCCACTCCACTGGCATTGCTTAAAGAAATATTTATACAAACTCTTTCTTCTCTGACTGTTGGATGCTGAGGACAGACTCACCCAGGGAATGGTAGGGAGATAGAACTTGTCACAAAGTCATGCCTGTGAGAGGCACAAGTGTGGTCTTCCCCTGGTCAGGCCTCATTGAACTATGGGTGAGGATGCTAGGGAAGTATTTATGGTTTCTCAAGCCCCAGGAGAATGATTTTTCATCATTCCTCATTAAATAAATTGTTCTTCTGATGTTCTACTCTTGAACTCACTCAGCTCCCTTGGGGTGCAGAGCAAATGGCAGAACTGAAAGCCTGTGCTTATTCTGTTTCCAGGAAGGCAGCTTTGGAGCCAGACGGACCCATACCACACCACCCCCACCTCCCCCCCCACCCAAACACACACACACCTCTTTCCTCACTTTCATCATTGTTGATCTGGCTTTGAGAAAAAGAGATTCCCCCTCAGGAATGTGTCTGTGCTCCGAAGACCTATCTCCCTGTGGCCACAGTACTTCGGGTCTCAAAGCAACACAGAAGAAAATGGAGATGCATCTAGCAGTGAATCCCTTGTGGAGATGGACAAAGTCGTGTTTTAAGAGAGGAAGAGTCAACCCTATAAAACGATGGTCTGAAGGCAAGTAAAATACAGGCTGAACAATAAGTCTAGGGTTTAGTGATATGGAAAAAATACAGCAGA